TATATTCATGATATAAAATAAAAAATTAGTATCGAACACTTACCCCAATCCACATGGTGAAAATCGCTTCAAAAAACGTATCAATATGAGCTCCATAGCTCCAAATATGTAAAAATGGATGAAAACCCCGAAATATAGTACTTTATAATCACTGGATGAATCAATGAACCACGATCGTAGAAATACCATCACATTCGTGAAAAAGAAAAATGCACTGCCCAGTATCACCCTATGCAATCGCGAACAAGCTTCGTGATTGTGAAGCACAAAAAGCTCAGCCTCGAAATGTCACTATGCGAACGCGGCCCAAGGCTCGTGAACGCAATGAAGAACCTAATGGAAATCCGGGCATACGCTCGAGTCCAAATTCACCATCCGAACCTATTAGAACCATCAAAACTCCAATCAGAGGTGAAATACTTAAAAGTCAAACTTGGTCAGTTCTTCCAACATATAGCTTCTTGGTTGAGAATAATTCTTCCCAATCAATTCTGAATAACCTGAAAACCAAAACCAACAATTCACACAAGTCATAATACATCATACAATGCTACTCAAGACTACAAATAGCTCAATGTAATACAAATACTCAAAACGACCGGCTGGGTCATTACATTCTCCCCCACTTATGCATATGTTCATCCTCGATCATGCCAAGAATTGTTCCAAAGCAATCAAATTGCCATGTAACCTTACCATGCACATACCCGGAGGTGATCCCATGTCATCCTAATCCCTATAAGCCTAACGACACAACCTAACTGAAGACCCTTAATTCAACCTTGGAATCTAATTCTCAACATCAGGAATTCCTTACATGAACCGAATCTCACACCTACAAACTGTATAAGTCTGAACAAGTTCTATCAAGCCATAAACAAAGTCCAAAATGCCATCACATGATATACCACATAACCTAGATACTCACAACAATAACTTTTGACCACAATAGTTGTTAAAAACAAACCTAATATCGGTAATAAGCCTCATCTAAAATAAAACCTCGTTCAAAACCTTTGTTCAATGTGGATGATGAAAGAAACATGCAGAGACTCACAACCACTCTTCAGGTCAACAAATCATATAGCTCTCTCTCGTCCGACAAGTACCAAAGCCAAATCATAAGCTGACTTCCGATATTATTCTTCCAAATATACCGTAATAAAATCAGATAGTATCCATTCTAGGTCCAATGACCTCATCTCATCAAACACGACTATTATTTTACCATGCCACACCAATAGAACCTAAAGCAACAAATCGTACAACCCGTGCACCAATAAGAAACACTTAAAATGCACTTAAAAATGAAAAATGACTAAAATTACAGAACCGTCCCGCAAGCTCAATAATACCGCCACAACTGCAATGCTATGAGCCCATCATACATAGAAGAACGAGAACACACGAATCTATCACAAAGGTTCATATCCTGGCATAACCCAACTGCAATACGTGACCTATCCAAACACCGATCCATATGAAATACCTCGAGCCCAACGCTTTAAATCAGCAACCATAAGCAATTCGACACCAAGTACACAAAGTGCATGACCATAACACAGGAGAAGCGAATAATACAACATACTACAGCCCGAAAATACCATAACCAAGGAGCAATCACCCATTCCACACCCCAAATAAACAAATCACTTGAACTCCGCTTTAAGGCAAAAACAGAACCGCACCATCTGTGCACAGAACCACAAATAACAACTCCTCGTAGCGTAAAAGAGGAATGCGTAGAACTTATCAGGACATGAACAAGCCCCTCTAACCAAATGATTCACCCTCTATACTAACCGTGCCATGTAAACAAATTTGGCCCGGTGTAGAATACACATCCTCATAATGCCTACCAATGAGCCTCCAAACCTACCCTATTCATCCGCAAATAGATAATTAACCCTCCGAAAGTCCACAATGACCTAACCATAATGCATACAATGATCTAGCTAGCTTCGGCCACGTCTTCACGGTCCGCAACAACGAAACAACCTGCTTTTAAGAACTCCCACTCTCCAAATCCATAGAACACACAAATCACCATATTTGATCCCAGCTCTAGCACTCGAATGTCTAACACATCTCTCGTGCGAGATCATCCCACGAGGAATACTTCTATAATTATTTTGTTCCATATAGGAAAAATCTTAACATCAATAGTCGACCAATCAGGCGAGTACCACAATACTGATGAAGCATCCATAAGTCAAAACACGGCGCACCTTCTGAATGTCACTCTCCTCAAGTTATTCAAATTAGTAATATCATTCATCTAGTCATCTGAAACCGTCCTTGTTGACTACGAATTTATGACCTTCCCTTCAAAACTAAACCGAGACATTGCACATGCAAATCTCAATCCCACACAGCACACCTCATCTATCTTTCCATCATATGAAAAGTACGAGAATCTCATAATCAACTCCGCGTCACAAGCTGAATACATTCCTGGTCAGTTGGAAACTTTCCATTTGATCCCATCCAGTAGAAAATCTTAATACACAACATGCTCCTCACACCGGTAGGAAATATAAATCTTAAATCGTGGTAAAAACCATCAAGAACTCTTCGAACCCATTTCCACATAACCAAGCCATCGAAACTAAATGTCTAACTCAACCAAGCCACGCAGATCGCCAAACCCCAGATTATTGGCACAAAACACTTGTAGAGACTCACAACATCATAAGTACCCAAACAAACGATCATATCAATTACTATACTGATCCAACCTACTACCAAGCTATCATATTTCTCCGATTTCCTTCCGAATGACCCTCAATTTGACACTCCTCGTTGCCAGGACACCATGATCCTTAACCATAACTCACCCCATGAGATCCTAGCATAAAACCAAACAGCCCTAAGGCCCATAAGCCATTGAATTCCCTCTTAAGCACCCCAAAAAACCACAACCAAAACACCCACTCTAAATAGACCTTCTGTGAATCTAAAGTCATTTTCTTCACCTACATGACACTGAAATGTAGAATCCATAGTGATACAAAAACACTTCGAGTCTCGACACCATCCCATGCAAATCCCAGATCTTAGCCATATATAAATCAGGAAAATTCTCAATTGCCAACATGTAAATCCTAAATCCAATAGAACCTTCTCGAGAGTCCTTACTCCACTCAAATCTCAATTGCACCGCCCGATTAGGTCGAACGACATGTGCGCCATTAGCACGACAACACCCAAAGAAGTTGATAGCATTCATGGCAGCTCAACATTATTAAAGGAGAAGGATGAAGCTCTGGAAGCTCCAACAAGGCCCATGACAAGGTCTCAAACAAAGAAATTTCAAGAGAAGCTTAATGGGCTTCAATTGGCAATTAAAAAGTGTCTTGTAATAGAAGAAGAGCTCCAGCATAAGGAGGATATTTTGGCCAAGTCTTACAAATAGTTGGAGGCCCAAATTAAATTCCAAGAGGAGATGGAATGAGGCCCAAATATGCCCCAAAAGAGAGGATTTTTCAGCAGCCCAAATAAGCCCAAAAATAGTTTCTGGAATATATATTTAATAGTTGTTTTAATCTATGTTGACTTGCATTGGTCTATGTGTATGTTGACTACATTGGTCTTAGTGTGGGTAGTATTCTATGCTTCTAGGGAATATAATTCTCATTTATTGAAGTCTTGACTAGCTCCTTCTTTACTACTATATAAAGGGGTGCTTGTCTTCCATTGGAGAGAACATTGAAGATTAATATTATCACTGTGAGTTCTTTTGAACCTTTGTGAACTTTACTTTGAAGATTTATCTTGCAACCCTAACTAGTTCATAGCTTAAGTTAGTAAGATAATTTTCTTTCTTGTGATATCTTTGGTTTCTTTTGATATTCTTCGAAGGCGACTAGTTTCTTTTACTAGTTGTTGTCGTAAGTTATTCAAACTAGAAGTCAAGATCCGGATCTAGTTCTTGATTAGCTTATCTCTAGTGAAGGCAATTGGTTCCAAACCAACTTGTTGTCATTAGGATCTTGTCAAATCTAGATTAACATAATCTCGGGGTTCCTGGACCTTTCCTTGAACTTTCACATATCTAGTTTATTTTTCTTGTTTTCTTAATTCGATAGCATTTCTTTACTGCTTCCGCATTTAATCAACCTATTTTCTATAAGTTCTTGGATCTCCCAACTTTTGTGTTATCAAGTGGTATCAGAGCGGTTGTATCAAGATTCCGTTCTTGATAAATCTTGGGGATTTCTTGAACAAAGGAGCAAAAAAAACAAAAAAAGGGAGAAACGTATTTGCTCTTCAGGAAATCAGATTTTATTTGTGTTTGTTTCCAAAATCAGGAAAGGAAACAAGAAGGGGGGATCCTAGATCTATAAGAATAAGAAAAAAAATAAAAAAAATTCTTTTCTTTGTTCGAGGTTTGTTTCAACTAAATCCTACTCTTTCCAGGATTGGTTGTTCACTTTCTTTAGTGCCCCAAATTTCCTTGTTTTACTACTAAGGGCTTTGATACGAGTTGGGTTTAATTATAAATCTACAAGGTATTTTTCAAAGGTTAATTGAGGGAAAAAAGGCAAGAGTGGGTGAGAACAATTGAGGGAATGAGCCAAAGTTTGAGTGATAACTATTATTATTATTATTATTTTAAAAAGATGTCTCATACAGGTGCTAGTGATGATGAACAGAAGGCTCACCAAGAAGCCGAAACCCGAGCAAGAAATGATTTCACTCTACAAGCTATGCATCAACAATTCGAGAGATGAAACTTGCAATTCCAAGAGATAAGGGATACTATTGCCGAACAAAATGAGACTATAGCTGCACTTAGGAGGGGAAATCAACCTGATGTACAACCTCGAAATAATCCTAGGCCTCATACTAGAAGAAATGTACCCCATGCCCCCATTGTAAATCAAGAAAACCCTATAGATGATTTTGTTGATGATCTTGATGTAAATCTAGATAGGGTGGGAAGAGATAGGAGGGGACAAAGAGGTAGAGTAGAAGATGATAATATTAGCAGCATAAAAATGAAGATGCCATCTTTCAAGGGCACAAGAGACCCAGACTTGTACCTTGATTGGGAGCGGAAAGTTGAGGCCATCTTTGACTGTCACCACTGCTCTGAAGGTAAGAAGGTTAAGCTTGCTGTTGTTGAATTTTCTTATTATGCTTCTATTTGGTGGAAAAAGCTTACAAGAGACTGACAACAAGATGGAGAACCACCCATTGCTACTTGGACCGAGATGAAGAGAGTCATGAGGAAGAGGTTTGTGCCTTCCCACTTTCAAAGAGACCTGCAACTGCGTCTTCAAACCTTGAAGCAAGGAACAATGACTGTTGATGAATACTTTAAAGCTATGGATATGGCTATGATCCAAGCTAATTGTATGGAAGAAGAAGAGGCCGCTATGGCTAGATTTCTTAATGGTTTAAATAGAGAAATAGCTGATGTAGTAGAGATACAACAATTTGTAACTATAGATGAATTAGTAGATTTGGCTGTAAAAATAGAAAAGCAAAATAAAAGAAGGCAGCAAGCTAGCTCATGGAGAAGTCGTCCAAACACCAATTCCAAGAAGCCATGGCCAAAACAAGAAGTGATTTCTAGACCTCAAGAAGACAAGGGGAAAGGTAAAGTTGATGAGAAAGAGGGAGGTAAAGCTTTCAATTCTAGATCCTCTAAACCTTCTAGTTCCATTCAATGTCACAAATGTCATGGAAGAGGCCATATGATGCATGAATGTCCAAATAGAAGAAATATTCTTTTGAGAGAAGATGGAGGATATGAGAGTGAAAAAAGTGAGGAAGAAGAGGGAGGAGTAAGTGAAGATGATGTAGAACTTCCTAATGATGGTTTGGTTGGGGTAATTAGGAGGACTATAGATGGAGAATATGAGGGAGAAAAAAGTGAGGAAGAGGAAGAAGAGGAAGGTGTGAGTGATGATGATGTAGAGTTACCTTTCAATGATGGTTTGGTTGGGGTAGTTAGGAGCATTATGACTATTAATTTAGGAATCAATAGTGAAGAACAAAGAGAGGATATATTTCATACTAGGTGTGGAATAAAGGGCAAAATTTGTTCTATGATTACTGATAGTGGTAGTTGTGCTAATGTGGTGAGTTCACACTTGGTGAACATGTTAGAACTTGCATGCATGAAACACCCTAGGCCCTATAGACTCCAATGGTGGAATGATAGTGGTGAACTGAAAGTCGACAAACAATTCATGATTTCCTTTAATGTTGGTAGGTATGAATGATGTTCTTTGTGATGTGGTTCCTATGAAAGCTTGTCACATCTTGTTAGGTCGTTCGTGGAAATATGATAGGAATGTTTTTCATGATGGAAGAAAAAATAGATATTCTCTAGAGCTTAATGGCATGAAGTATACTCTTGCACCTTTAAGTCCTTCTCAAGTGTTTGAGAAGCAAAAGAGATCGAGAGAAATAATGGGAAAACAAAGGGGAGGAAAAAAAGTGAGCTTGAGGGAAAAGAAAAGAAAGAAGGCCAAGAGGTAAAAAAAAAAGAGAGAGATGGACAAGAGAGAGAGAGAGAGAGAGAGAGAGGGCAGCAACTTGGGCAAAGGGGTAAAAGAGGGTTTGAGTGATGAAAAGGAAAGTTTTGGTGGACGGAAAGAGGCGAAGAAATAAAAAAAGGAGAGTTTATACATAAAATCCAAACAGTGTTTGAATGCAAGGAAAGAAAGGCTGCCCATTATGCTACTTACTTACAAAGATGTTTTGATTAATTCTGAGTCACTAATTTCTTCTTTGCCAAGTAGTGTTTCTTCTCTTTTGCAGGATTTTGATGATATCTTTCCTGAGGATATCCCTAAAGGTCTACCACCTTTGTGTGACATTGAGCACCAAATTGACTTTGTGCCCGGAGCACAAATTCCACATAGGCCTGCTTATAGGAGTAATCCAGAAGAGACAAAAGAGCTTCAAAGGCAAGTTGAGGAGTTGCTTGAGAAAGGTTTTGTGAGAGAGCATGATCCCTTGCTCCGTTCCCATTCTATTGGTACCCAAAAAGGATGGAACTTGGAGGATGTGCGTGGATTGTAGAGCAATCAACAAGATAACGGTAAAGTATCGCCATCCTATTCCTCGTCTTGATGACATGTTGGATCAGTTGCATGGATCCAAAATCTTTTCTAAAATTGATCTAAAAAGTGGTTACCATCAGATTCGAATGAATCCTAGAGATGAATGGAAAACTGCTTTTAAGACCAATATGGGCTTATGAGTGGTTAGTTATGCCTTTTGGCTTGACTAATTCACCCAGCAGTTTCATGAGATTGATGAATCATAATTTTAAGGATTTTCATGGGAAATTTGTGGTGGTTTATTTTGATGATATCTTGATTTATTCTAAAAATCTAGATAAGCATGTGGAACACTTAAAACAAGTTTTTGAAGTTCCAAGAAAGTAACACTTGTTTGCTAATCTTAAAAAGTGTACTTTTTGTGTGGATCATGTGGTATTCTTGGGTTTTGTGATTAGTTCTAAGGGAGTTGAAGTTGATGAAGAGAAAATCAAGGCAGTCAAAGAGTGGCCTAAACCTAACAGTGTAACTGAAGTTAGGAGTTTTCACGGGCTTGCTAGTTTTTATAGGAGATTCGTTAGAGACTTTAGCACTATTGCTGCTCCTTTAACTGAAGTTGTTAAGAAAGATAAGGTTTTTTCATGGGGAAAAGAACAAGATGATGCTTTTAACTTGTTGAAAGAAAAATTGTGTTCTGCTCCTCATTTGCAATTACCCGATTTTTCTAAATCTTTTGAGGTTGAATGTGATGCCTCTGGAAAAGGAATAGGTGCTATTTTGATGCAAGACTCGAAGCCCATTGTATACTTTAGTGAAAAGATGAGTGGAGCTACACTGAACTACTCAACTTATGACAAAGAGCTATATGCTTTGGTAAGGGCTTTAGCTACATGGAAACATTATTTGTGGTTAAGACTTATCATGAATCCTTGAGTTATTTGAAAAATCCAAGGTAAGCTTAATCGTCGCCATGCAAAATGGGTTGAATTCATTGAAACTTTCCCATATGTGATTGCTTACAAGCAAGGATAAGAGAATATGGTTTTTGATGCACTTTCAAGAAGGTATGTCTTGGTTTCTTCTCTTACTTCTAAATTGATGGGTTTTGATCAAATTAAGGAACTTTATTCTAATGATGCTTATTTTGGCAAGACTTTTGTAGAATGTAAGTTGGGTCCTTATGAGAGGTTCAATCTTCAAGATGGGTTCCTTTTTAAGGAAAATAAATTGTGTATTCCAAATTGCTCTTTGCGTGAATTGTTTGTTAGGGAAGCACATTGTGGTGGACTCACGGGACATTTTGGAGTGCCCAAAACTTTGGATATACTTGCTGAACATTTTTTTGGCCTAGCATGCGAAAGGATGTTGAAAAAGTGTGCTCTCAATGTCTTGAATGTAAACAAGCCAAATCAAAAGTGTTACCACATGGTCTTTATACTCCTTTGCCAGTCCCTACTTCTCCTTGGATTGATATTTTTATGGATTTTGTGTTAGGACTTCCTAGAACTAAGTATGGTAAGGATAGTATATTTGTGGTGGTAGATACGTTTTCAAAAACGGCTCGTTTTATTCCATGCTTAAAGACTAATGCTGCATTACATGTAGCTGATTTATTTGTGAAGGAAGTGGTTAAATTACATGGCATACCTAAAACTATCGTTAGTGATAGGGATGCTAAATTTTGAAGTCACTTTTGGAGAGTTCTTTGGGCGAAGTTGGGAACTAAGTTGCTATTTTCTACATCTTGTCACCCACAAACTGATGGGCAAACTAAAGTAGTTAATAGGACCTTAGGAAATATGTTGAGAGTTGTTTTAAAAGGAAAATTAACTTACTGGGAACAACATTTGCCCATGGTAGAGTTTGCCTATAATAAAACTATCCACTCTTCTTCTGGTAAGTCTCCTTTTGAAATTGTTTATGGATTTAATCCCCTCACTCCCCTTGATTTGTTGCCTTTGCCTACTAATGAAATTGTTAATCTTGATGGTAGGAATAAGGCTGAAATGATGAAGAAGATCCATGAACATACAAGGCTTGCAATTGAACGGAAGAATGAACAAACTGCCTTAAGAAGAAATAAGGGGCGAAAATCTGTCATTTTTAAGCCTGGAGATTTAGTTTGGGTGCATTTTAGGAAGGAAAGATTTCCTGCCAAACGAAGATCCAAATTAGATCCAAGATGAGATGGGCCATTTGAAGTCCTTGAAAGGATTGGAGACAATTCTTACAAACTTGACCTTTCTAGTGAATATCAAGTTAGTGCTACCTTCAATGTTGCTGATCTTTCCTTGTTTGATGCAGGCTTGAATTGGAGAACGAATTCTCTTCGAGAAGAGGGGAATGATAGCATTCATGGCAGCTCAACATTATTAAAGGAGAAAGATGAAGCTCTGGAAGCTCCAAGAAGGCCCATGACAAGGTCTCAATCAAAGAAATTTCAAGACAAGCTTAATGGGCTTCAATTGGCAATTAAAAGTGTCTTATAATAGAAGAAGAGCTCCAGCATAAGGAGGATATTTGGGCCAAGTCTTAAAAATAGTTGGAGGCCCAAATTAAATTCCAAGAGGAGATGCAATGAGGCCCAAATATGCCCCAAAAGAGAGGAATTTTCAGCATCCCAAATAAGCCCAAAAATAGTTTCTGGAATATATATTTAATAGTTGTTTTAATCTTTGTTGACTTGCATTGGTCTATGTGTATGTTGACTACATTGGTCTTAGTGTGGGTAGTATTCTATGCTTCTAGGGAATATAATTCTCATTTATTGAAGTCTTGACTAGCTCCTTCTTTACTACGTTATAAAGGGGTGCTTGTCTTCCATTGGAGAGAACATTGAAGATTAATATTATCACTGTGAGTTCTTTTGGACCTTTGTGATCTTTACTTTGAAGATTTATCTTGCAACCCTAACTAGTTCATAGCTTAAGGTAGTAAGATAATTTTCTTTCTTGTGATATCTTTGGTTTCTTTTGATATTCTTCGAAGGCGACTAGTTTCTTTTACTAGTTGTTGTCGTAAGTTATTCAAACTAGAAGTCATGATCCGGATCTAGTTCTTGATTAGCATATCTCTAGTGAAGGCAATTGGTTCCAAACCAACTTGTTTTCATTAGGATCTTGTCAAATCTAGATTAACATAATCTCGGGGTTCTTGGACCTTTCCTTGAACTTTCACATATCTAATTTATTTTTCTTGTTTTCTTAATTCGAGTGCATTTCTTTACGGCTTCCGCATTTAATCAACTTATTTTCTTTAAGTTCTTGGATCTCCCAACTTTTGTGTTATCAAAAGTAATCCACACCTTTAAGCAACCGAGTGAATCATACTCCATGCCCACTACATCCTTCACAAATAATACTCAATCATTCCATGATTCTCATATACCCATAAAGTGTAATACATAATGCATCCAGAAATTTCCTTGCTTACGTCATCCTCAAAACCAACATCTGCAAATCATAGCCAATCAACGTGCATGCTTGAACAGAAACCAATGCAACACATAACCATGCAATCAAATCATCGATAGCTGACTTCCCCACTTGGCTCAAAGCTTAATAACTAAATAGCTCACGATGCCCATACTCTATTACTGCCATACTACTATCACGAGGTTCAAGTAAATCCTTCATAAACCCATGTAACACAACCCATATAATACTTCATATTATTTGCCAAGCTTGCATTCATCCTCGTGACGGTCAGGTCAACTTTTCCAACCCATCCAAACTCAAATCACAACACCTAAAACCCACGGGTAGAAAAGAAAGCTTCCACATAACATCATAAGGATCACACATCCGTAGATTACCCCGCAGGTGACCCAACTACTTAGCCTCAAACTGGCATCTCTCTATACCCATTCAAAGCCCCAAGTACTATGCAATCACTTAATCTTCTGAGTCTGAACTCATCAACAAGACATAAAAATCTACTTCGTTCCACAATTTAGCAACATGAATGTTCCTTCAATACACTAATAACTCGAGACTATACGTCACGTTAAGACTGAAATCAAGCACCCATTAGTCCTTTTTATATGTTAAGCATACTCTTCTTGTCATATTCAGACCATCTGAACATATCTCGGGGTCGTATCATACTCATCATATAGCCATCTAACAACTCATCGTGCCACAAATTCCACTAATACGGACACTGTGGGACATATAAGTCCAAAAACATGTGCTCACACAACCTAAATCCTCGTGCTTAGGCTACAGTCAAAACATGGGCTCAAGTCCTCCACACTGACCCATCAGCAGCACACCGAAATCACATCTCGCACCTCATTCATGAAATCATAAGTCGTCGATGCACAGCTGATACCGAGCGCTCACATGCGCATACAAGTGCGTAGAAGGAATTCAAAGAGTTACGTTTCAATCTAAATCAATGCCACACAATAAGAAAAGAAAGATGGGAAGTTTATCCTAAATGCTTTGTAGCCTCTAGAAGTTAGGTATGGATGTCATCACACCGATCCGCAAGACTCTACTAGACACTTTCTCATCACTCATAGAATCTATGAACGAAGAGCTCTGGTACCAACTTGTCACGACCCAAAATCCAATTAGTCATGATGGCACCTAACCCAAAACTCACCCCACGAGATCCTAGCATAAAACTTCACCACCCTAAGGCCCATAAGCCGTCGAATTCCCTCTTAAGCACCCCAAAGCACCATAACCAAGACACCCACTCTGAAGAGATCTTTTATAAATCAAAAATCGTTTCCATCACCCTCCTGATACTGAAATGTAGAATCCATAGTGATACAGAAACATTACATGTCCCGACACCATCCAATGCAAATCCCAGATCTCAGCCATATACAAATCCGGAAAATTCTCAATTGCGACATATAAATCAAGAATCCATTAGAACTTTTGAGAGTCCTCCACTCTGCTCAAATCTCAATTGCACCGCCCAAACGGGATGAACGACTTGTGCACCATTGGTACGACAGCACTAAAAGAAGTAATCCACACCTCTAAGCAACCGAGAGAATCCTACTCCATTCGCACCACATCCTTCACTAATAACAACTCAATCATTCCATGTTTCCCATATACCCACAAAGTGTAATACATCATGCATCCAAAAATTTCCTTGCTTAGGTCATCCTCTAAACCAACATTTTCAAGTCATAACCGATCCACAAGCGTGCCCCATACTGAAACCAATACAACACATAGCCATGCAATCAAATCGTCGATAGCAAACTCCCTCCGTGACTCAAAGCCATAGATCAAAACACTCAATAACTCACAATGCCCATACTCTATTACTGCCATAATACCACCAGGAGGTTTAACTAAATCATTCATAAACCATGTAACACAAACCATATTATACTTTAAATTATCTGCTATGCTCGCATTCATCCTCGTGACGGTCAGGTAAACTTTTCCAACCAATCCAAACTCAAATTGTATCAACTATAACCCATTGGTGGAAAAGAAAGCCTCCACGCAACATCATAAGGATCACACATTCGTAGATTACCCCGCAGGTGATAACCCACCTTCTTAGCCTCAAACTGAAATCTCTCTATACCCTTTCACAGCGACCACTACTACGCAATCATTTAATCTTCTTGAGTTCGAACTCATCAACAAGACATGAAATTCTACTTCATTCCACAATTAAGCAATGTGAAAGATCTTTCAGTACACTCATAACTTGATATTATACGCTAAATTAAGACAGAAACCAAGCACCCAATTTTCCTTTTTATATGTCAAGCAAACTGTTCTCGTCATATTCCAACCATCTGAACACATCCCGCAGTCACATCATACACATCATATATCCATTTAACAACTCATCGAGCCACAAATTCCACTAATAGGAACACCACCGGACTTATAAGTCCAAAAGAACATGCTCACACAACCGAAATCCCCATGTTCAGGCTACAGTCAAAACCCGGCCTCAAGTCGTCCAGTCTGACCCATCATCAACACACAGAAATCAGATCTCGCACCTCATCCATGGAATCACAAGCCATCGATGCACAACTAATATCGAGCGCTCACATGCGCATACGAGTGCGTGGAAGGAATTCAAAGAGTTATGCTTCAAGCTAAATCAATTTCCCACGATAAGGAAAGAAAGATGGGAAGTCTATCCCAAATGCCTTGTATCCTCTGCAAGATAGGTATGGACATTATCATACCAATCCGCAAGACTCTGATAGTCACTTTCTCATGACTCGTAGAACCTATGAACCAAGAGCTCTAATACTAACATCAGTACACTGCCAAACACTACCCTTTGCAATCGCGAGCCTTTGCTCCACGATCGAAAAGCACAAAAATGCTCTGCC